GTTGGCATGGACGCATCCTTTTCACTGTCTGCGCTCAAGGCTAAGGTCTTGCAGTGAAATGCAGGCGTAAGACCACGGTGGTGAACAAAACCACCAACCACGGCTACCCTTGCATGCTTCATTCACTAAACACACACTGCGTGAGTACTGTGTGCAGCACCGTCTCGGCCCAGGCACCAGCAGCGCCAGCACTGACGCACCCCTTCCTGCAGGAGGGGTGCACTTCAGGCCCCCACTACCCAAGGCCCAAGTGTCTGCAGAGCCCACGTGGCGGCCGCTCCTCACTCGGGTTTATGAGCACCTGCAACGCGGCGGACACAGCTGAAAAGCCAGCTGCATGTTGTGGTTGTGTTGTGGTGTCTACAGACAGGGCTTCGCCGCTCAGGCTGGTCTCCACCTCCCTGTGTAGCCCAATCTGTCCTTTAGCTCTCAGCCACCCTCCTGCCTCAGCCTCCCAAGAGCAGGGGTCACAGGTGTGTGCTGTCATGCCTGCCTGACTTAAAACTTTCACTGTAATCAACTTAAACAGCTACCTGTGGCCAGCGGCAGGCAGGGCTGGGCTAGCTGGTTAATCCACGCCGCCCAGCCCACGCAAAGCAAAAACAGACGAACACCATGGCAAGGCTGCTCCTCTGCCTGCGCGGGTGGCGCCCTCGCCGCGCTCCCGGGCCCCGAACCCACGCCCCACGCTGCACTCCTGAGCGGCTCCCGCTGGCTGGCTCTGCCCGCGGCCAGGAGACGGCGCGGCGCCCGCAGGCGCTCTGTTCTTCCAGAGAAGACCGAGGACCGGCAAGCCCGGAGCCCCCGCGCCCACAGAGCCGGGCCGAGCGCCTGCTCACGCGGAGGCTGGGAGAGCCCGAGGGCGGGGCGCGGAGAGGCGGCTGACGGAAGCCGGGTCTGAGCCCAGCCGCGGCCCGCAGCGGCTCGGCGGCACTGGCGCTCTCCGTGGTGCTGAAAGGCAAGCTCGCGGCTCCAGCGGGAGCCAGGAGCCAGGAGCCAGCGCGCCTGGCGGTGGCCGCGGAAAACCGACACCAACAGCGCTTCTGCTCCAGCACGCACGACTCTACACAGCCCTCTGTCACTTAAGGCCACCGACAGCCTTGCACACGGAGTCACCAGTGCACGCTGCCGGCGGGCTGTGTTCAGAGCCCGGGAAACCAAGGGAGAGAGATGATCTGGAGGGCGGCAGGGGCTCGGCTCCCCACTGGCCACCTCGCTTTCCAGGACCCTCCTGGCGCCATCGTGTCCTCCGAGAAGAGGTGGCTGGGGCTCCTCGGCGGCCACCTTGGGGACTCCCTGTCAGCGCTCATCGGTCTCCCAGTGGAAAGCCCGTCACACAGCATGAGCTGAGCCTCCCTTCCTGGGAGCCCCCCAAGTGGCAGAAAGAGAGTCTCCAGGAAAGCACCCTCAGCTCCAGCAGCAGTGCCCACTTCCTGCTCCTGAAGTGAGTGCCCGTGTGGATGGACCTGCCTCCTGCCAACCTGCACACGGGGACGCCAAGATCTCTCCCACAGCCCGACCGAGCACCAGAGACACTCAGTGGTGCTGACACGGACCAGAGGTTTCCTTTCCATCGCAAGGTGTGGCAAGGCTCGAACACGTGTTTGAGAGGGAAAACAAACACGCCACGGCCTCTGTCACCTGAGCACGGAGTACGGAGGGACGGCAGAGACCCAGAGCCCTTGAGGGGGCACACAAAGCCTGGAGGGCACATGTGGCTGTTTGGGGGACGGGGTGGCGATGTCTGCAGGTGGTAGGTTTACAGCACGCGTGCGCCCCTGGGTGAGGCTGGATCCCGATGTGGGCGTGTGTGATCTGCGTGGGCAGAGAAATCTGGGTGGTGAACAGGACCGCGCATGACGAGGAGAGGCCAGGGTGTGAGATGACTCATACCTTTCGGGGTGTGGGAGGGCTTATCTGAGCGGGCAACTTTCAGTCCAAGGGGCTCTGTATCCACAGCAGCAAGGGCCATGGTCACTCGTGGGGCAGAGTGCAGGGGTCCAGGAATGAGTGGGCAGAGACGTCCCAGGCCCTGGGCTGGGGCTGGCCAGGTGGGGTCTGCACATCTGCTCCCCTGTACCTGCCTCCAGCTTGGGGTTCTGCACCCCAGGACAAGGATGGATGTGAAAGAGGAGGAAGTTACAGGGGTGACTCCTGAGTCCCCATCCCAAGTGTGTCTGGTTCCGCCCAAAGCCCATCTGCTCCGGGCCTCCGCTTCCCGGAGTGGGAAATGGGAACAACAGGATTCAGCCCTCTGCAGGTAGAAGAGTTCGGTGCTGCCCTTCACGTAAACATTCGCCACCGTGGGGCACACAGGAGCCAATGTCGTCACTAAACGGCCTCTGCACGTGTGACCACTGGGATCACCCCAGCTGCTCGTTCTAAGCATGATCACCTTGAGTGACACGCATGGACTGTGTTAATAAAAATCACGATACACGGCAAGGATGCTACCACGCTCCCGTCGGGGCCACGCACCAGGTCTCAGTTAAGCCTCCCCACCTCACAGCCCTTCTAAACAGGAGGAAACAGAAACTAGGGAGGACCAGTAACTTGTGCAAGATCACAAAGCGCAGGGACGGAGGGGCCAGGATCCAAGAGCATGCAGCTAACTCAGAGGGCGTGTGCACTCGGCCACCCGTGCCACGGGGAGCTCACACCACGCGCGGCGCCTGCCAGCCCGGGTGAGGAAGCGGAGGAGGAGACGGCAGCAGTGTCCTCGGCTGAAATGGATTCCATACCAATCCCAGCTAAACGTGGACCACATTTGCTGCTTGTGCATTATTCATGAAAATCGCCGTTTCCCCAAGTCAGCACGGGGAGCCAGGCTCCAGTTCCGGAGCTCTGCAGCTCTGCCCCACATTCCCACCTCCTGTACAGAGGCGAAGCCGGGCTACAGCTTGGCCCTTTCCTCCACCCACACAGATCACACACACCCACCAGGCGAGGGGAGAAGGAGCCCAGGCCCGGCCTGTTCTGCCAGTGACTGCACCCCGCCATGCCACACACAGGTTGCCCAGGGCTCCAAGGGAAGTGGCCCCAGACGCCTCAGCTTGACAACCCCAGGCCAAAGGGGCCAACTCAATCCGGCATGATGCTGTCACCATCCAACGGGCAGCATGGCTCTGCAATCCTAGGTCTGCCTAATAAGACCTGAGAACACGACCCCCAGAAAGAAGAAACACAAGCAACTCCTTCCAGGAAGCGGGGTGGCTGTGAGGGGGTGTGGTCCCAAACAGATGGGAGCTCTGCCACTCCAGCTGCACCCCTGTGCCCAGGCCCACATGGATCCCTGGTCTTGTGACTCTCGCCTGCAAAATGGGCAGGATGGAGCAGGACAAGACCGCGTGTGTTAGGTGTTGGGACGGGGGTGCGTGCACTGGTGCCCCCATATTCCAGGAGATTCAGAGGCGAGGGGGTGCTGGTCCGGCCTGCACAGAGCCCACTCAGCTGGGCGCCCTCCAGAGGGCAGATCTTCAGGAAGCCTGGCCAGAGCCCTGGAGGTGACAACTGCCCAGTGCCCAAGGAGCCTAGCTGTGAGCCCCAGGCTGCCACCCACAACTGCTGCTTGCGCCCTGCATGTGCGGGAGTGGGGTGCACCACACAACATGGGCGCGCGCGCGCACAAGAGCCCACGCCTGGAGCCAAGGGAGGGCCGTGTCTGCTCCCTCTCGGTCTGCAGGGCCCCAGGGTGAGGGAAGCTCTCCAGCCTGCTCCAGGAAAACAACAGCACAGAAAGGCCGCCTGGGACCAGGGCCGGGCGCCGAGTCGACAGGCAGGAGCATTATATAATTAACTGCCCGGACTCCGCCTCCTCTTCGGGTAATAAGGAACCTGCCTTTCAGTTGCATAAGCCAAAATAATAATTACTTGCCAGCCCGCGTCACTCCTGGATGTGGCCAGGGAGCAGATGCTCAGAGCCTTCTGCAGGAGACTGGGAGGCGGCAGGCAGGCCGGGGAGCTCAGGCACGCTCAGGGGTTTTATTCCCAGCAGAAGCACAAGTCATTCCTGCCTCTCACTCCCTGCCCAGGCATCCATGCCTGAAAAATAACCCGGCCGCCCAGAGGGAGTCTGGGAGCCACCCAGGAGGAGCTCCTGATGGGGGAGGCGCTGGGCGGTCGATTGGGGTCTGCTGCCTGCCTGCGCCTGCCTGGGGTGCATCCAGGAGTGGGAACGGGAGTGTTCGGGCAGGGGCAGCTGCAGTGCCAGCCAAGGCTCCCTGCCCAGAAACCATCTTCCAGGCAGGCGCACTGGCTTCGGCACCCACTCTTCCCAGAATGTGGTGGCATCTTTGAAGGAAGGTACAGAGCAAGTCCCTCAACTAACTGAAATGATTCAGCCACTGAAAGTCGAGATTCCTGGGCTCTGGCTAACAGATGGGCCTCCCTCTCCCGCCCGCCCTCCCTCCCTCCAGCAGGCTGCTTCCACAGCGACTCTGTGTCCAACCACCTAGAAGTTTACTGCCTCGCTGTTTGGTTGGGTTGGCACCCCCGCCTCTAGCGCTCCCAGGTGCTCTTTCTCCATTGGCCTGGGTTGATGAGGACTGAGGGAGGCCCTAGGCACCAAGGAAAACAAGAAGGCAGCTGGGGCCTGATGCCTGAAGACATGGGGGTGAGGGAGGGGACGCCGTGGAGGCCCCTGCAGCCCCTGCACCCGTGGCAATGCCAAGGCAGCCAGGCCCAGCCTAGCCTTTCATGCAGGTCTCTGGCCTGCTCTGGGTGCTGGGTGGCGGCGGCCTGGCTCAGCGCCGAGGCCTGGGCCTGGCTGGCAGCTGGAAAGCCCCCCACGCTTTCCGATGGCACGGGGCTGCGTCCCCTACCAGGCCGCGGGCAACCTGTGGCCAGGGCCCGCTGAGGCCTCCGGGGCACACGGGGAAAGCTTGGGCCCGCGCCCCAACAGGAAAGGCTCAACTTCCCGAGATAAACAGCGGGGTGAGTGGGGAGGGCCCTCCTCCTCCTCCTGCTCTTCCTCCTCCTCCTCCGCGCGCGCGCGCACCCACCTCCATCCGAGTAGGTCTCCGTGCCGTAGCCGTCCTGCAGCCCGTTGCTCCAGGTGCCTTCGTACTTGGCTCCGTTGCCCGTGCACTCCCGCACCCCATAGCGCCCCTTGAATCCGTGCGTCCACTCGCCCTTGTACACCCACTTCCCCTTGCTCTCCAGGCCGATGCCGTGGCGCTTGCCCTGCGCCCAGGTGCCCTGGTACGTGTTGCCGCTCGGCCAGGTGTAGACGCCCAGCACCTCGAAGCCGTGGCTCCACGAGCCGGTGTATTCGCCTTGGCCCTTGGGGCCGGTGCAGACGCCATGGCCGTGCGCCTTGCCGTCCTCCCAGCCTCCGCAGTACGACCCTCCATCGTCGAAATTAAACCTGCCCCCAGTGGACATGCATGTACCGCGGTCCGCGAATCCCGCAGGCGGCGAAAAAGGACGCGGCGCCCGCGGAGCCGGAGTCGTGCTCGGCGGCGACGCCCGGGCCGCCGCTCGCTCGGGAGCTCGGAGGACGCGAGCAGCTCCGCACGGGCTCCGGCCGCTCCGGCCGCGCCGAGTCCACGGGCGCGCGTGTGCCTCGCCGCGGCGCCGCGAGCCTGGCCGGCGTCTCGCGCTCCCGCTGGAGCCGGGACCGGGCGGGGGAGGGGCGGGCGCGGGCGGAGGGCGGGGGGCAGAGCGCGGCGACGGTGCCCGCGGCGCCGCTCAGCGCGAGCCCCGGCCCGCGGCCCCCCACCTGCGGCTGCCGCGCAGCGGGCGCCCGGGGGCGGCGGCGGCGGCGGGGCCGGGGCGCGGCGGGGGCCCGGGCGGGGGCCGGCGCGGCTGCACCATGGCGCGGCCGGGGCGGGGGCCGGGCGGCGGCGGCGGCGGCGGCGACACTGCGGCGGCGGCGGGAGGCGACTGCGCTCCGGGCCTGGCGCGGCGCGGGGTGGCGAGGCGCGCGCCCGGGCCCGGGCCCCCCGCGCGCGCCCCCGGCCTCCGCTCCGCCCCGCCCCGGCGCGCGCACGCGGGGACCCCGGCGCCCCCCGCCCGCCCCGCCCTGCCGGCCGCTAAAAGGGGGTCCGGCCCGGGCGCCCCACCCCCCTTCCCCGGCACTTGGATTTAAAGGGACAGGAACTGCGTAATGGGAAGGCGCCCAGCGCCGGGGCGCTCTCTCTGCCACCGCCCGGGCCCCGGGAGGTGTAGATGGCGGAGCAGGCCCCGGCCCCCCGGGGAGCACGCCCCATTCCTCCGGCGCCCCCTCGCCGGCTGTGACCCTGGCCGCTGCCAGGGCTGGCCCGGAGGTTCTTGCAAACCACAGGTGGTTTTCCCTAAGACAGATAATCCCTGCTGTTCTTCCTGCCCGGCAGGGGAGGGGTTTGGGCAGGGGAGGGGTGCAGGTGGGAGATTCCTTCCTCCCCGCAAATCAAGGGAACCTCTATCGGAGCAGGGCACCCAAATTCTATGAGCCCTGAGCCCTGGCCAACAGGTACCTTCCAACTCTGGGAATGCCTTGGGGCACAGAGTGGGGTCACACTGGGGCTTTGGGGCCTCTTTCACACACCTCACACACACACACACACACACACACACACACACACACACACGCACGCACACATACACGCGCGCACACACACACCCCCACCATGATGTCTGAGTCAGGGATCTGAGTACCGTGGACCGTGGATCCCAGACAGGAGCCTGCGGCCCAGAGTGAGCCGGGCGTGGCTGCAAAGGAGGTAGCCAAAGTCTGCTCAGCTCAGCGGCAGGGCCAGTGAGGGGACGGGCTAGTGGACCCAGGAGCACTAGTGGACCAGATCTGCCCTGGCCAAAGGGAAAGTCAACCCCGCCAGCCTCTTGCCTTGAACACAAAACCCCTCCACAGACACTGCCAGCCAGGAGGCCAGGGCTCCATCACCTCCCTGGCCTTGGAGACCGTCCACTTCTGCACCGCAGTGACCGTGGACCCATGCAACTTCTGGTGCCCGCCTGCTTCTCTACAGGTTCCTATAAAGGCCCACAGTGGAATGGCTAGGCCCAGCACATCTCTGCCTTTATTAGAAGTTGGCACTCTCGGAGAGGCTAACCTCTCGCCCACAGTGGAGGCACCCATGGGCCTCCACTCCTGGGGCCACACTTAGTGTCACCAGCCTTCTGATTTTGTGTCAGTTTATTTAGTGTGTCCATCAAAATGGGCATGAACTCATATCTCCTGGCTGCTCCTTATAAGTAAAACTTCGTGTTGTGATTGTATGGACCAAAAAACGCTAGAGGTATTCTCCCAGGATTTGGGTTCATATCCCTGCTATAGGGCCTGTTGCTCGGTGGCTTTGGACCACTGCTGATGTCCCTGAGCTCGGTTCTCCCACCTATAGAATAGACATAATGGTTCTCACAGCGTCGCCGGGGCGTTCGAGGCCTGGGCACCCTTGCCCTCACGCCTATGCACGCTGCACCCTCTCCCATTGTATTTCCGTCCCTTTTCTGCTGGTTCAGCAGCCCTTCCTTGCAAGCAATGGCTCCCAGCCGAACTCCTGTTGGCAAGTGGTGCCTGGGTCCAGGCAGTCGCTGCCGGTCAGTACCTTGTCCCTGGAACCACACACACCTTTTCCTCCTGCAGCCTGAGCCCAGCCCCAGCCAGCAGGGCGTGCCAAGCCTATTTTCTCTGGGATGCAGTGGGAGAGGGATTTGTGCACACTGGAAATTGTTCTCCCGTCAAGGAGCACTGGCGGCATTGATTTAATTTCAGAGAAAATTCTGCAAGGCTATAAACACAGCACCACCCAGCAACTTAAAAACAAAATCCAGTGATGCCTGTGCGCCGTTCCACAGCCTCTGATCCCAGGCAGGGTGAATGTATCTCCTGGGTCACAGCCTGTGCTCCAGGGGTGGACTCACACTCTGCTCTTCTAAGGCCAGCGTGGCCCCGGGCTGTGCCTTTCCCGTGGGAACCCACCCTTGCCTCCTGGCCTGAAGCATGGGCCCCTGCTGCCCGATTTGCTGGTCTCCTACTGAGGAGACTTCCTGGCTGTCCTAGGTGAGGATGGCCCCTTGGCATCTCCACAGAGGCGCCTGCATCTGCTGAGTTCCCTGAGAACTTAGCCACCATCCTCAGCTCCCAGGTTTGGCGTGCGTTCTGCACCATGTTCATTTCCGTCCCATACCCTCTCCTTCCATCGGGGGCTGATGGACCTCCTCGAGGGGGTGAGATCTGGCCTGTGCCCCAAGAATCTGGGCTGCTCATAGGGACAGGGAGTCACTCAGTGTGGCTTCAAAGGCCCGTTTGCGAGCAGAACCACAGCCTCACGCCCTGAGATGCTTGGGTCAGAAGTCACCATGCTGTCAGGGCTGAGAGCCAGCCCCATGAACAATGGTGATGAGGAGAGGGGAAAGGAGGCCTCCAGCCCAGAGCCTTGCAGACGCCCACCCGGTAGCCAGCACCAGGCATGCTGTCCAGAGTGCAGAGCCCCTCGGCCACCCAGCTGGGCAGAGACAGCCTCCCCTTCAGCTCAGTTTCTGCACAAAATAAATTACTGTACTGTTCTGAGCCCGGGTTGGTGCACCCTGCAGCTGGGAAGCCAAATCTGCCTGTTTTTATAAGTAAAGTTTTATTGCAGCACAGCTAAGCTTATGCACTTACGAATGTCTGTAGTGAGCTTCACACTACAGCAGCACAGCTCAGTAGCTGTGACAGTGGCACAGGTCCCATAAAGCCTAAAACATTTACCTCCTTATACCTTGCTCCCCCAAGAGCGTGTCCAGCCCTGGGTTTTGGTCTGCACAGGCTGCCGCACCAACACACCACAACATACTACAAACAGGAGTTGGGGCTCACAGATCTGGAGGCTGGAAGTCTGGGGCGAGGGTCCGGCCAGCTGTTCCTGACCAGGGTTCTCCCAGCTGGAGGCCAGCTGCCTTCATTGTGTCAGGATCCCGTGTCTCCCTGGTGGGTTCCGACCTCCTGTGGGTTGCTCCTCGCCCTGGGGTGCTTTCTGTCTGCTCCGTGGACAGCCTGTTCTGCTGCCCTCTTCCCTTTCCGCTCTAACGTGGCTCCCCTGGACTCCCTGGTCCTGACTCCTGACTCCTGGGAGAGAGGTTTAGCTTAGGTCAGTGGGGCCAAGTGTCCACTCCCGAGCCCGTCGGTTGCATTCAGGGAGAGGCATCCTGACTTAGACAAGAAGGCGATGTGAGTGACGTCTCTGTGCAGGCCGAGAAGGCACACTCTGAGCCAAAAGCTGGGATGGAGGTTCTGCTGCTGGGACAGGTGATGGGAAATCGAGAGGCCAGGGCTTGGGGAGATGGAGGGTGTAATCTTAGCTTCTAGCTTAACAAGAACCAGAATGGTCCCCGCCCTGGGAGCCTGGTCAAGTTCCCAACGAGGACGATGGAGGAGAGGCGGAGGAAGAGGAGGGTAACGCACGGTGACCTGGAGGGGTTGGAGGAGGAAGACAGGCGGTGATGGTGGTGCCAGTGACGGTGACAGTGACGGGCAGTGATGAGGATGAGCCGGGGAGACAACAGTGACGGGAATGCTTAGGTGGTGGCGGTGGTGACGAGCACGCTGGGGATGAGGATGGCCGCGGTGGCTGTGGTGTGAAAGCTTTCAGTGTCTGCCCACCAGGCTTCTTGCATGGAGTTCACCCCCACTGTGAACGGGGAAGTGGGTGGGAACCTCACCCAGCTACAGCGGTTAGAGCAGGGGCTGCAGGGGGGACAAGAATTGGATGAGGTCATTAGAGTGAAGGCCCCATGATGGCCTCCTGGTGGCTTTATAGGAGAAGGAAGACCAGCACAGACAGACACACACACACACAGCTTGTCTTTTGCCATGTGACGCCAAATGTCACCTTGGGACTCTACTAGCAGGAAGACCATCCCTCACCAGATGTAGCCTGCCTCAAGTAACAGAGACAGAAGTGATGGCGATGCTGGTGATGGTGGTGATGGTGGTGATGGTGGTGATGGTGGTGGTGGTGGTGGTAATGGTGGTGGTGGTGATGGTGGTGGTGGTGGTGGTGATGGTGATGGTGGTGGTGGTGATGGTGGTGGTGGTGGTGATGGTGATGGTGATGGTGGTGATGGTGATGGTGGTGGTGGTGATGGTGGTGGTGGTGATGGTGGTGATGGTGGTGATGGTGGTGGTGATGGTGATGGTGGTGGTGATGGTGATGGTGATGGTGGTGGTGGTGATGGTGGTGATGGTGATGGTGGTGGTGGTGATGGTGATGGTGGTGATGGTGATGGTGGTGGTGATGGTGATGGTGGTGATGGTGGTGGTGGTGGTGGTGGTGGTGGTGATGGTGGTGGTGATGGTGATGGTGATGGTGGTGATGGTGGTGATGGTGATGGTGGTGGTGGTGGTGGTGGTGGTGGTGATGGTGGTGGTGATGGTGATGGTGATGGTGGTGGTGGTGATGGTGGTGATGGTGATGGTGGTGGTGGTGATGGTGATGGTGGTGGTGGTGGTGGTGGTGATGGTGGTGGTGATGGTGATGGTGATGGTGGTGATGGTGGTGATGGTGATGGTGGTGGTGGTGATGGTGATGGTGGTGATGGTGATGGTGGTGGTGATGGTGATGGTGATGGTGGTGATGGTGATGGTGGTGGTGGTGGTGATGGTGATGGTGATGGTGGTGATGGTGATGGTGGTGGTGGTGGTGGTGATGGTGGTGATGGTGATGGTGGTGGTGGTGATGGTGGTGGTGGTGATGGTGGTGATGGTGGTGATGGTGGTGGTGATGGTGATGGTGGTGGTGGTGGTGGTGATGGTGGTGATGGTGATGGTGGTGGTGATGGTGATGGTGATGGTGGTGATGGTGATGGTGGTGGTGGTGGTGGTGATGGTGGTGATGGTGATGGTGGTGGTGGTGATGGTGGTGGTGGTGATGGTGGTGATGGTGATAGTGGTGGTGATGGTGGTGATAATGGTGGTGGTGATGGTGGTGGTGGTGGTGATGGTGGTGATGGTGATGGTGGTGGTGGTGGTGATGGTGATGGTGGTGGTGATGGTGGTGGTGATGGTGATAGTGGTGATGGTGGTGGTGATGGTGATGGTGGTGGTGGTGGTGATGGTGGTGATGGTGGTGATAATGGTGGTGGTAGTAGTGATGGTGGTGATGGTGGTGATGGTGATGGTGATGGTGGTGGTGATGGTGATGGTGGTGGTGGTGGTGGTGATGGTGATGGTGGTGATGGTGGTGGTGATGGTGATAGTGGTGATGGTGGTGGTGGTGGTGATGGTGGTGGTGATGGTGGTGGTGGTGGTGGTGATGGTGGTGATGGTGATGGTGATGGTGGTGGTGGTGGTGATGGTGATGGTGGTGATGGTGGTGATGGTGGTGATGGTGATGGTGGTGATGGGGATGGTGGTGGTGGTGGTGATGGTGATGGTGATGGTGATGGTGGTGATGGGGATGGTGGTGATGGTGGTGGTGATGGTGGTGATGGTGGTGATGGTGATGGTGATGGTGGTGATGGTGGTGATGGTGATGGTGATGGTGGTGGTGGTGGTGGTAATGGTGGTGGTGGTGATGGTGGTGGTGGTGGTGGTGATGGTGATGGTGGTGGTGGTGATGGTGGTGGTGGTGGTGATGGTGATGGTGATGGTGGTGATGGTGATGGTGGTGGTGGTGATGGTGGTGGTGGTGATGGTGGTGATGGTGGTGATGGTGGTGGTGATGGTGATGGTGGTGGTGATGGTGATGGTGATGGTGGTGGTGGTGATGGTGGTGATGGTGATGGTGGTGGTGGTGATGGTGATGGTGGTGATGGTGATGGTGGTGGTGATGGTGATGGTGGTGATGGTGGTGGTGGTGGTGGTGGTGGTGGTGATGGTGGTGGTGATGGTGATGGTGATGGTGGTGATGGTGGTGATGGTGATGGTGGTGGTGGTGGTGGTGGTGGTGGTGATGGTGGTGGTGATGGTGATGGTGATGGTGGTGGTGGTGATGGTGGTGATGGTGATGGTGGTGGTGGTGATGGTGATGGTGGTGGTGGTGGTGGTGGTGATGGTGGTGGTGATGGTGATGGTGATGGTGGTGATGGTGGTGATGGTGATGGTGGTGGTGGTGATGGTGATGGTGGTGATGGTGATGGTGGTGGTGATGGTGATGGTGATGGTGGTGATGGTGATGGTGGTGGTGGTGGTGGTGGTGATGGTGATGGTGATGGTGGTGATGGTGATGGTGGTGGTGGTGGTGGTGATGGTGGTGATGGTGATGGTGGTGGTGGTGATGGTGGTGGTGGTGATGGTGGTGATGGTGGTGATGGTGGTGGTGATGGTGATGGTGGTGGTGGTGGTGGTGATGGTGGTGATGGTGATGGTGGTGGTGATGGTGATGGTGATGGTGGTGATGGTGATGGTGGTGGTGGTGGTGGTGATGGTGGTGATGGTGATGGTGGTGGTGGTGATGGTGGTGGTGGTGGTGGTGGTGATGGTGGTGGTGATGGTGGTGATAATGGTGGTGGTGATGGTGGTGGTGGTGGTGATGGTGGTGATGGTGATGGTGGTGGTGGTGGTGATGGTGATGGTGGTGGTG